ATTTGTAGTAAGCCCCGGGCACATCAGATGAGAGGGGCAAGGAAGGCATCTGAGAAGAGCTGAGAGACACCAGGAGCACCGAAGCCCAGGGTGGGCACTGTGTACAGATGGTTCAAAGGACGGCTGGGAGAAAGAAGACTTTGGTTCTGGCTCCAGCTTTGCCTTTAGCTCACTGTCTGACCTTGGCCTCAAACCTGAGCATGCCCAGGGTCAGAACTCCGGGGACTTTGTTAAAGGGAGGTGGTTGATTGTTGGTCCCAGCCCCAGCGTTTCTGATTTAATAGGTCTAAAGTGGGGCCCAAGAATTTTCATTTTCTAACAAGTGTCCAGGTGATGGGAGGCTGCAGGTGGAGAGTCCCCATGTTGAGAATCACTGGCCGATTCACTTTCCTTCTGAGTCTGAAGGGAAGTTCCCCTCTCAACAGGGAGAATCACACTGGCTCCTACTACCTCTCCCCCAGCGGTGCTGTGAGGGTCAAATGAAAAGCCAGATGAATTCAGGAATTTCTGAGAGTTGGTTGGGACCCAAAGATCCACCTGCATTGAACTCCCCATTTGACAAGAGAGGCAACTGAGGACCAGAGATAGCAAAGAATAAGGTCACAGTCCAATCAGAAGATGACAGCTGGAACTAGGTCCCAAGTAGCCTTCCCCCTGTGCTCCCCCAGCCTAGAAAAGAGTTCAGTGTCTTGTCTTTCAGAGGAAGTGACCCTACGTGGGATTTGTGGCAGGTGCTGGAAGAGTCCTGCCTGCGTCCCTTGATGTTCACCATCCCTGTGCATGCCGACCTGACAGCCTCTAAGTGCCAGCCCCTGTGACTCTGCCTGAGGACTTTCTCTGGCTTCGGAGCCCACCCAGGCCTGGCCTGCATGAACACAGAAAGTTGTCAGCAAGCGCTAATGTTCATTCTTCTGCAGCAAATTCCAGACAATTCCTGGTGGATAGACACCCCAGCTCCCTCGCCCCTTGATAGGGACAACTGTAAGGCTTGTTGTACCCCATCATGCAGGAATCCTCAGTGGAATTGAGCCCTGGCTGGTTATAGCAAAAATCGGCTTGATAACACACCCTTTGTTGGCTTATTTTCCTCCCGGTTTCACCTTCCAACACCTCTATAGGTGCCTCCTCTGACTCACCTCTCAAATAAACCACTTGTCTCAAATTGTCTTTTAGAGCCTGTTTCTGGAGAAGCCCAGCCTCAGACAGAATAATAACGGTAACAGCCATTAATTCATTGAGTACCTATTATATGCCAAGCATTGTGTACAAATGATCTCATTTGATCTTCCTGACAACCTTCCAAGTGGGTTTCATCACCTGCTTGTCACTGTTGAGGTTGCTCAGGTTCTGAGAGGAGAGGCGGCCTGACCAAGAACTCTCAAACTGATAAGCTGTAATCCACAAGGGGGCGGGCAGGTAAACCAGACTACACACTGTACTTTGTAGGACTGGGAGTTAAGGAACCTGGTTTCCTTTGTGGGGGCTCAGCCCTAGCCCCTGCTGCCCCTGGACAGTCATGACCAGAAAGAAGGCAGTGTGGGCCACCAGGATAAGGCATCTTTGCCCCGACACTAACCTCATTGCAGGCACCATTAACGGCAGCAGCAATGGGACTCCTTCCAAAGGCCTCACTAACTGAGGATACTGATGAAGGAGCCAGAGGGTGGAGAGGAAGAACCGGCAAATATGGTGACTGCAATTGACAGGCTAGCTTGCGGCTACTCTTGGGGACTCCCAGTAATAACTAGGAGAGCTTCTGAGAAGGATGTTTCTGCTTATGTAGAAGTGGGGCTCATGGGCATTGCCTTTTTGGCAAAAATGGGACTCCATTTTGTAACCACAAGCCGGTGAAGCCAGGCAATGTTTCGGTTTCATCTAATACACTCAATTTTTTTTTTTTTGAGACAGAGTTTCGCTCCATTGCCAGGCTCCAGGCTGTAGTGCAGTGGCTCGATCTCAGCTCACTGCAACTTCCACCTCCCAGGCTCAAGCAATTCTCCTGCCTCAGCCTCCCGAGTAACTGGGATTACAGGTGTGTGCCACTACACCCAGCTAATTTTTGTATTTTTAGTAGAGACAGGGTTTCACCATGTTGGCCAGGATGGTCTTGATCTCTTGACCTGGTGATCCGCCTGCCTCGGCCTCCCAAAGTGCTGGGATTACAAGCGTGAGCCACCATGCCCGGCCTCATCTAATACATCCTAATGTGCTTGTGGGGACAGAATATGGTCTTTGTCTATGGAAGCGCAATATTTTGCTTTTGGTTCAAGTTTCAAAGCATGTTTCCCTCATAAATAATTTTGTTACATAAAAAGAAAACTATTTGAGTAATAGTGAAGTCATATACTCACGTATAGAAAAATAAGCTCCCTCGGTGGCACTCAGGGTCCACGTTAGACTTCACACTGGGCCCATTTTCACTAGTGGGAGCTTTGTATGTGTCTTCCTGTGTCTAGCCTCAGTTTCCTTGTGTGTGACAGGAGAGGCAGCTAAATGGCCCCTTGCCCTCAGAGGTCCCAGGTTTGACAGGGCCTGTGGCTCTCCCTCGGGGCCACTTGGTAAATCTGGGCAGGTTTCTGCCCCAGTCTAGCCTAGAAGCAGATCTGTAATTGAGCCTGCAGGGTCACTGTGACAGGCACAGCCCATAAATCTCAGCTGAGGGAGCAGCCCAGGGAGATAAATTGTGCTGCAGCTGAGTCTTCCCTTGCACTCTGGGAACAGCCTGTCTCTGGGGTTAACCTGAAGAGAATGGGGAGCTGCCAAAACCATTCCCCATGGATGAGACACGCAGTGGGGTGGGGGCATGAGGACCCAGTCCATGTCTGGTGAGGAAGAAGTGGTTGCAGAATGGTGTTTGCTCTTTAGAGCTCATGAACACAAGTGCAGGATGCTTTCAACAAAACAGTGGCTTGATCAGAATGAATGCAATATCATGGGATATTTATCTGCCTCTCTTCTCCCCTGGGGACTGAAGCCAGAGACCACATGTAGGTCAGCTGGCTGTGCCCAGCACAGGGATAGGCAAATACAAATCACAGAAAATAATAAGAGGTAGCCTATATTGAATGAGCACTTATTCTATGCCAGGCTCTGTGCCCATCATTCTATGTGTATTATTTATTCTTTGCAACAATCCCAGGAGAAGCCTTCATGATACAACTGAGAAAATAGCACAGAGATGTTGACAAAATTGTCCAGAATCACTCATCTAGTAAGTGGTTGAGCCAGGCTTTAATCTCAAGCAGTTTAGCTCCAAAGCTTGGGGTCTGATCCACTCTGTGAAATGATCAGTACAGTAATGATGACAACAACAAGGAAAGCTCATTGTGTCACATACCTGTCAAAGGGAGCGTAGGAGGGATTAATCAAGGTTGGTCAGGAGACCACAGGCAGCCTGGCACAGGGAATATCACGTGCAAAGACAAGGGGTTGAGAAGTCATTGCGTGTTTGGGGAATGATGACACAGTTGGTAAGGCTGAGGTGTAGAAAGGGCGCTGAGAGATGAATCTGGGGAGGGAGGTGGGGGCCAGATCACTGCAAGCCTCAAGAGTTAAGCTCAGGGCCACGAGTTCTAGCCAGTGGGCCAGGGCAGCCACTGCAGGTGTTAAGCAGGGCAGTGATAAAGCCAGGTGTGAGGACCACACCACCTCTCACCAGATCTGTGACCTTGGGCAAGTCACTTCTTCTTCTGGAGCCTCAGTTTCCTGATCTGTCAACTGGGAGTGATTGTCACCTGCATATCACTGTTGAGATTGCTTGGGTTCAGAGAGAAGAGGTGGCCTGACCAAGAATTCTCAACTGATAAGCTGTAATCCACAAAGGGGGTGCAGGTAAGTCAGACTCCACTCTGTACTTTGTAGGACTGGGAGTCAAGGAACCTGGGCTCTCTCTTTGCAGCCTTTGCCCCGGGGCAGTCATGACCAGAGAGAAGGCAGTGTGGGGCACCAGGATAGGGAATCTATGGAACCTCCTGCCTCATAGGGCTTGGACAGGGGCTAACAAAACAGGATGAAAAGGATTTTGTAAACTGTAAAAGATTTTATAAATGCAGCTTGGTGGGTGGAATGGAAGGAAGTGAACAGATAGCAGGTGTGAGTTAAGCCAGCTTATTTCACATAGAGGCCACTAGGTTTATTCCAACTTTCCTTTATTGTTATTAAAATTATATTTGCATGGGGTTTTGCTAATTACCATTTGGCTTTCATTACCTCTCTTGAGGATCTCCAAACCTTTTGATTAAATAGAATTAATCCCATTTCCCAAATGAAGACATTGAGGCTTGGAGAGGGACAGGACTGCCCCAGCCATGCAGAGGGCAGAGCTGAGGCCTAGCCTGGTGTCAGACTGCAGAGCTGTGCACCGCCTCCCCTGCTTCCCATGACCTTCTTTATACTGAGCAGCTTGTCTGAGTTAACGCCTGCAAATGACCAACCAAGGGTGTAAAGGAGCAAGGAGGCAGGAAACAGCAAGAATGGATGACTGGGAGGATTCAGGATTGTAGTATTTGCAGCTTTGACTATTTGTCAATAACCTAGATGGTCTGTGACAGCTTGTAATTGGTCAGTTTGCTGAGATCCAAATTTGAATTCTTCAAGATCAGTGTAGGCAGACAAAGCCCATTTGTGAGAGAGTCCAGCTGGCTGCCCAGCACACACTTCTCAGCTCAAATTTCTGGTTCTCTCCTCTTTGTGGGAGGCAGGGTGACCCTCAACACATGGGCTTCAGTCAACCCATCTGGGACGAACTCCTAGCTCTGCCCTGAAGTGGTGTGACCTTGGGAAAGTGACTTCCTGTCTCAGAACCTCAGTTTCCTAATATGTAATTCCAGAATAATACTTCAAAGGGCTGTTGAGGATCATTCATGGACTCTGCTGGATAAAAGGAACTGGTCACCGTGTGGCCTGTGGGAAGGGGAGGAGGGCACGGGAGTGCAGAGGAGGCAGGGAGACCTACTTTGCTCTCTTCACCATTTCGTAATGTCTTTTCTTTTTAAATTAAATCACATGTACGGAATTCCTTTATTCACATAAATTATTGAAATTTCAAACATTGAGATAATGCGTGAAAAGCACTGCGCATAGTCTTGCACTTAATAAATACTCCATAAATGTCAGCTTTTATGGTTATTATATGCATGACTACACTTTGTTGTTGTTTGACACAGGGTCTCTGTCACGCAGGCTGGAGTGTAGCAGCGCCATGCTAGCTCACTGCAGCCACAACCTCCTGGCTCAAGTGATCCTCCCACCTCAGCCACCCTAGTAGCTGGGACTACAGGTGCACGCCACCATGCCTGGCTAATTTTTTAATATATTTTTGTAGAGTTGGGGTTTCGCCATGTTGCCCCAGCTCGAGAGTTCTGCCCATCTGCCCATCTTGGCCTCCTGAAGTGCTGGGAATACAGGTGTGAGCCACTGAGCCTGACCCACAGTGATTTTTAAGAACCCTGTTTCTTTGTGGAAAATGACTCCTTCCAAAAGTTAAATGCTCCTTAATGGAGCTGAAGAGAAAGTGAAGAGATTAAGGCAAGTGATACTTCTTAGCCAGAAAACAGGAGTTTCCTTGACTTGATCTTTGACTTGGTTCCTCATGGATCCAGTCAAAGCTAAAACCAGGGCACTGGGGAGCATGGCAGCCTTGCCAGAGAGGAAGGCTGGCCCGCCCTGGGGCGCCCATCCAATCACTCCCACAGACTGAAACTGGAAACTGTCTGTGGCCTACGGGCTGAGTCATTTAACCTCGCTGAGCCATCAGCTTTTCATTTGCCAAACGAGGATGGTGATACTGTCTGCCTTGCAGGGTTGTTGTGAGGGTTACATGGGAGAGCTGTGTGATAGCCACCATCATCCCTTCTTCGTCTTCATCATCATAGCATTCAGGCCTCACCCAGGACAGCGGGGCCAGTAAAAAGCGTTCTGCCTGGGGCAGGAAGTGTGGACTTAGGAGTTGGACAGGCCACTCTGGAGGTCAGTGAGGAGAGGGGACTGAGAAGGTCCCACTCGCGTTGCCCTTCCTGAGTACTACCCTTAGCCATCAACTGGACTGACCCAGCATAAGTTTGGCCCAGGATTGTGGCTGAGAAACAAAATCTGAATGTAACTAACAGAGCTTTACCTTATCCACTTGCCTGGGATGGTACTTATGCTAATCCTATTCTGAGCAAAAGCAACTCAGACTAATAAAAGCTGCGCCTCAGCTCTGGGCTCCACACCATCTGTCGGTCCACACGCTTGGGATTAGCTTTTCCCATGGAGCCCAGACTGTCCGCTCGGCTGCGTGGAGTAACAGAGGCCAGCCTGGAGGTATGAGGGGTGACATTCATTCATCAGCACATATGCATGGAGCCCCGCTCAGGGCCAAGCCCTGTGCCAGGCACTGGAGGTCCAGTGAAGGAGAGACGGACAAGGTCACTGCTCCCAGAAGAGTGAATTCTGGTGGGAGAGGCAAAAAAATTAGCAAGGGAGTGAAGAAGTGCATACGGTAACTTCTGAAGGTTTTAAGTCCTATGAAGAAAAAAAAGCACTGATATGTCAGAGAGTGACTTGGGGGTGTGGACCTGATTAGAGTGGGTGGCCAGGGTAGGCCTCTCTGGGGAGTAAGAACTGAAGGACAAGGAGTCACCTCAGGGCAATCAGGACATGCAGGGCAGAGGGAAGAGCATGTAGATGCCCCAAGGAAGGGCTACAGTTTGAGGAACAGAAGACCTGGAGCCAGGGGTAGGACAAAGATGGAGATGGTGCCAGAAGCCAGGACGTGTGGGACCTTGTAGGCCACTGTAAGGACTTTTGTTTTATTCTTAAGTGATCAGGGCCATTGGAAGGTTATCTTTTTTCTTTTGATTTTTTTTTTTTTTTTTTTTTTGAGACAAGGTTAGTTCTGTCGCCCAGGCTAGAGTGCAGTGGTGCGATTACAGCTCACTGTAGCTTCAACTTCCCAGACTCAGGCAGTTCTCCCACGTCAGCCTCCCAAGTAGCTGAGACCACAGGTGCACGCCACCACATCTGGCTATTTTCTTTCTTTTGTAAAGAGATAAAGGGATCTCATCATGTTGCCTAGACTGGTCTCAAACTACTAGGCTCAAGTGATCCTCCCATCTTGGCTTCCTAAAGTGCTGGGATTACAGGCATGAGCCACCACATCCAGACCCATTGAAGGGTTTTGAGGACGGCAGTGATAGGACCTGTGGTATATTCTAGACATTCACTCTGGCTGTTGAGTGCAAACTGATTAGAGAAGGGAGAAGGTGCTCCCAGGAAGACCTAAGGAGGTCTTCTTGGCATAAGAGGCTCAGGTATAAGAGGATGGAGAGAAGATTAAGGGGTGGGGTCACATTTGGGAGGTAATAGTGAGACTAAGGCAAACTGCACAGAGTACCCAGCATAGTCTCTAGCCTGTACAGGAGCTCACTACATGGTGGTTGGGGCTTCAATGATTTTGATTCCCCTCTGACACACAGCCTCCCCTATCTGATCTGCTGAAGTCCTTGTCTGGAGGCCCCTGTGGCAATGCTGGATGCTTCTCCCTTGTGAGGAGGCCTCAAGTCATCTCCATGCCATGTGGGGTACTTACCTCGGTGGTAAGCCTGCCACAGGCCATGTGTTTTCTGGCTCTGAAAGTAATTCAACCTTAGCGCTTCTTCGGGAACCTTGCTCTCTGCATCAGGCAGGAGGGGATGGGGCTCTTGCACATATAGAGATTTACTGACCCAGCACCAGCTTCAGAACTATGAAAACCCATGGCTGGGGGAGGGTTTGGCCTCTTGCCTGGGCTTTTATGTACTAATTCAGTGCATGTGTATGGAGCCCCTGATCTGTATCAGACTCTTCTGGGGACACAGAAATAAACCAGACACAGTCCCTTCCCTGGAGAAGTTCACATTCAGGTGGAGAGGGGAACAAATGCTTGATGTGCTATAGGTGCTCCATATTTGCTGGAAAACAAATCGTTATCTACATAGTAAGCCCCTGATACATGTAACCATAATTTTACTTAGGAGTGTTCTTACCTCAAAACCTTTAAAGTTCTATAAGTAAAAATTCCCAGCCCAGGACTCAGGCCACCCATAGACTGGCCCCTCCCTCCTATACCAGGCTCACTTCAGGCTGTTCCTCCTCCTGCTGCACTTTGGCTCCATCCATATCACACCTACTCCTGTTCTTTGACATCCATCCAGTTTCTATGTTTGCATATATCTTTCCTTTCCTTGTACCTGGAATGCCATTCCTGCCTGGGAAACTCCTTTAAACCTGTCAAAACCCAGCTCACAAGTCAGCATTTCTGCTAACCCTTTCCTGATATCCTCTGGGCCAGGCCCCTTCTCCAGGCATAGTTCAGCAGTCCCACCACTGCAGTCCCACAGTTTCCCACTTAGCCCCTAGTATGTCAGATGGCAATGGATGGATGACTTGGCTCCTCACTGGACTGTGAGCCCTGTCTGGTTCATCTCTGTGGCCTGGGATCTGTCACAGGGCCTGGCATAGAGGAGGGAGGCATTCAGGAAGCATTTTCATTCATGGGCGTGTGTATTTGCTTCTACTAGGGCTGCGGTAACAAGGTACCACAGACTGGGTGGCGTAAACAATCGATTCATTTTGTCACAGTTCTGGAGACCAGAGGTTCAAGATCAGGTGTCAGCAGGTTTGGTTTCTTCTGAGGCCTCTCTCCTTGGCTTATAGATGGCCACAGTCTTGCTGTGTCCTCACATGGTCTGTGCTGTCTGCGTCCTAATCTCTTCTTATAAGGACATCAGTTATATTGGATTTAGGGCTCACCCATATAATCTCACGTTACCTTGATTACCTCTGTAAAGGCCCACTCTCCAAATACAGTCACATTCTGGGATACTGGGGGTTAGGTCATCAACATATGAATTTGGGGACAATGCAGGGTGATAAGGACATCAGTGTGGCTATAGCATAGCTAGATGCAAGGCACAAGAATGGGGCCAAAGAGTCAGCAGATGCTTGGTAGGGTTGGGAATCCTAGGCCTCAGGTTAGTCTTCAGCTGCTGGAGAAAAAGCTGAGAAATAAAAGGAAAACTTAATCCCACTTAGAGGGGTGAAAGAGGAAGGAAGGTGAACCCTTGGGGTTGTAATGGGGAATACAAATATTGATTACGTTTACAGGATGTTCTCACGGGCTATTAGCTCTGAGTTCATTTTCCAACATAAATAAAAGAAGATAACCATTAAGGACTTAGGGTCTATTAATAGGCAACAAAATATGTGGACACGTGCAATCATACAAACACCATCCCCTTCTTCACCTCTGAGACCACTGCATGAAGCATTCTCTTTCTTAGATGGGGAAATTGAGGTCTGGAGAGTTGAAATAGCGTGTCTACGGTTGCTAGTTGAATAGCAGTAAGCTAATGATTATCCTACTCAAAGGCAGACGTGAAAAGCTGTGGAGGAAAAATCTCTGCCAATCATTAGAGCTCGTTTCTCACACAGCATGATTTTTGTGTTTTCTGCATTAAAAAAATACATTATATGAATTTATGTTCACTATAAAAAATCAGATTGATTACCACCCAATGCATAAAATATGAGTCCATATTGATATATTAATAAATTATCAAAATAAATTAAATGGCAGAGAAGGGATGAATCTTCCTTAAAGACCTCCAAATTATATGGGTAGATAATCTACTCTCCAGGAGGTGGAGTTTAATTCACCCCCAGCCCTCCAACCTTTGAGTGAGGTCTGGATTTGGTGACTTGCCTCCAAAAAATAGAATATGGAAAGGGAAAAATGACAACTTCATAGTGGGCAAATCTGGCAAACGCTAACATAACCAAGCACTCAAGGTCCTGTGGAAGCCATGTGCCACCTGGCGTGATGCGATGAGAAGGGTGCTTCATCTCAGTGGTATTCTTCCCAAAATCCTGAATTCCAACTTGATCATGAAGAGATCCTCAGACAAACCCAAACTGAGGGATAGTCTACAAAATACCTGGCCAGTACTGCTCAAGACTGTCAAGGTCATGGGAAACAAGGGAAGACTGAGAATCTGTCACAGAGCAGAAGAGACAGGATAGGCAGGATGACTGAGTGCAGCCTGGGATCCTGGGCTGAACCCTGGAACAGAAAAAAGGCATTGGTGGGAAGATTGTAAAGTCTGAGTGAAATCTGGAGTTCAGTAATAGTAGTTACCAACAGTGGGCTTTTAATTTTGACAGATGTACCACACTAATATAAGAAGTTCACAATGGTGGAAACTGGGTGACGGACACACAGAAACTCTCTGTATGTTTGCCACATTGTGTATATCTAAAATCAATCAAAAATAAAAAGTTTATTTAAAAAATCAGGCAAGTAGAGTGAGTCCCTCCTGACCAACAACCCCTCACCCCATCCAAAACGTCTCTCTTAATTGCGTGTATATCTGTACACATCTTTTTTCTTTTTCTTAATATGTCTCTAGGGAAATAGTTTTTTTCCCTTACATAAATAGTTCATAGTGTACATATGGTACTGCGACTTCCTTTTTTCACTTAACAATATGTCTCAGCTATGTTCCCACATCAGTACTTGTAGATTTGCGTGGTCCAGCACAGTAGCCACTAGCCACATGAAGCTACAAGCATTTGAAAATGTAATTAGCCCAAACTGAGATGTGCTGTAAGAGTAAAATTACACACCACATTTCACAGGCTTAGTACAAAACATTTAAAATGTCTCAGTAATTTTTATATTGATTACATATCAAAGTAATATTTGGGGCATATTGAACTCAAGATATATTATTAAAATTAATTTTCATTTGCTTCCTTTTACATTTTTTATGTGGCTACTGAAAAATTTAAAAATATGTATGTGGTTTGTGTTATATTTCTATTAGAAAGTGCTGTTATACAGACCTAAACTCATTCTTTTTATCCACAGTACGGTATTCCAAAATCTGGATGTACAATTTAACCACTCTTTTTAAAATGTGCTTTTAGCCTGTTTCTAAAATTTTGCTATTACAAATCATGTTGCAGGGCCTCCTTTGTGCACATGTAATAGTATTTCTCTAGAGCATGTTTTGGCAAACTAAGGCCCATGAAGCAAACACAGCCTACCACCTGTTTTTTTTTTTTTTTTTTTTTTTTAGACGGAGTTTCGCTCTTGTTACCCAGGCTGGAGTGCAATGGCAGGATCTCGGCTCACTGCAACCTCCGCCTCCTGGGTTCAGGCAATTCTCCTGCCTCAGCCTCCTGAGGAGCTGGGATTACAGGCACGCGCCACCATGCCCAGCCAATTTTTTGTATTTTTAGTAGAGATGGGGTTTCACCATGTTGACCAGGATGGTCTCGATCTCTTGACCTTGTGATCCACCTGCCTCAGCCTCCCAAAGTGCTGGGATTACAGGCGTGAGCCACTGTGCCCGGCCCCACCTGTTTTTATAAATAAAGTTTTATTGGAACACAGCCATATTCATTCATTCATTTACATACTGTACACAGCTGCTTTTGTACTACAATAGCAGAGTAGAATAGTTGTGACAGAGACTGTCATGGCTCACAAAGCCTAAAATATTTACTATCTGTTCCTTTAAAAAAGTTTGCTGACCCCTGTTCTAGAGTTGTTAGTAACAACTAGAGGAGTTACGTTATAGGCCCACTTCCTTGGAAAGTAGACTTTGAGATGGAGATTAGCATGCAGGAAGTTTAGCAGGGATTGCTCTTGGGAAGGGGGCAGGAAAGGAAGCAGGAGTGGGAGAGAGAGAAATTGGGCTCTGATGCTGTATGAAGACCTCAGCCAGTCCCATGGGAGGCTGTGAAGTTGCGATGGCCTTTCAGAGTTGTCAAGTTGAGGCAGTGGGGCCAGACCTTCCTAACCTTGAACTGACCTGACTGGGAAAGGGGTATGTCAGTGAGGTAACTTCCGTTGAGGAAAATTCCCAGGGGACTAACAGCTGAGGGGTGCTGGCTGAGAGCACTCCCAGTAGCTGTGTGAAGAGGCCCAGCAAGTGTAGTGGTGGGAGGATCTGGGCAGTACAGGATGGCATCCACTACAGCCCACACTTGTGCTGCCCAGCTCCACTTCTTGGTTTAAGTTCTGGTGGGCCTACTTTCCTGGGGGGAAACTTAGGAAAGTCAGTGGGACAAACTACAACCTTCATCGCTGACTGATCTTCAGGCCACAACTGATACTCATCATCTCCCTCTTCTACTATGCACTCTAGATTCCCCTTACCCTAAGCCAGCACCTCTTCTGGTCTCCATGCCTTCCACGGAGACATGATTTAGATCCTCAGCCCTGAGGGGGCTGAGCTTGAAGTTAGCATATCCTGCTCAGGTCACAGCCTGGGCACTTTTATAATTATTTCATAAATACTGGACAAGAGGGGGCAGGCACTGTGGCTCAGGCCTGTAATCCCAGCACTTTGGGAAGCCAAGCCAGGTGGATCGCTTGAGGCTAGAAATTCAAAACCAGTCTGGCCAACATGGGAAACTGTCTCTACTAAAACTACAAAAATCAGCTGAGCGTGGTGGCGCATGCCGGTAATCCCAGCTACTTGGAGGCTGAGGCAGCAGAATAGCTTGAACCTAGGAGGTAGAAGGTAGAAGATGCAGTGAGCTGAGATGGTGTGATGGAGTGAGACTCCATCTCCAAAAAAAAAAAAAAAAAAAAAGAAAGAAAGAAAGAAAAGAAAAAGAAAAAAAAATGGGCAAGGGAATATTAAGAAGTCTCCATGTGAATTAACTGAGTACCAAAAATATAACTCCCTGCCCTCCATTGCTTAACAGCAGCTGTACCTCTTCCTGATGATCACGGTTAATTATCCCTCAAAGAATGGTGACTGTTCTTGTCTACTAGTCTCTTGACATGAGAAGCTCATGTGTCCGGGTGCAGTCACAGCTAATAGTTCAGTAGTAATCTTGATGTTTCTTTTAGTGGAAGTGTTCCTCCCTTGTGACTCAAAACCTCTAAACCTGTAGAGCACAGAACTGTGAGTTTAGGAAGCACAAATGTCCAAGCGAGTCACTAGAAGTGATGTAAGAGTGAGATCACTCCTACTTTCATTTCTTGGTTCCTAGACTCCTGTACTCTACCCATTGAAGACAAACTATCACGTAATGGTCTTTGATCTTGAACATGTGCTGCATTCTCGAGGATGGCAGCTACTCTCTCAGGATTTCTGAGCTGGTGCCCCAGCTGTGCCTTCGACTGACAGTTCTAAGCTGACAGTTTAAGAAAATAGTGCAGTAGATGAAAGGACAAGTGGCCCACTGGTGCATCTCTTCTGCTGTGGAATCATGAGATCCTGGATGACTATCCCATAATCTGTAGATCCCATAATCTATCCCAGTAGGTTAAACATTGCATAAGCCCTTCTAGAGTTGTGCTGGATGAAGCTCTACAAGCAATGCAGATGAACTCTTATCTGGAATATATGTCTACTCCAGTGAAAACGAATCACAGCTCTTTCCAGGGTGGATGGGGTTTAATATAGCCAAATTCCCAAGTGGCTGCTGGTATTCTCAAGGGATGGAGCTATATCTAAGGTTCAGAGTTGGTCTCTTACCAGCAGGCCAAACACTCAGCTGCAGCAATAACGATCAATCCTGGTGAGTGGGAGGCATGCCATACCATCTGATATGGTTTGGCTCTGCGTCCCCACCAAAATCTCAACTCAAATTATAATCCCCAAGTGTTGAGGGAGGGACATGGTGGGAGGTGACTGGATCATGGAGGCAGTTTCCCCATGCTGTTGTCGTGATAGTGGGTGACTTTTTTTTTTTTAAGCCCCCACTCCTTGAAGTGGGTGACTTCTCAAGAGATCTGATGGTTTAAAAGTGTTTGGCAGGTCCCCCTTCGCACTTGCTCTCTTTCCTGCTGTCTTGTGAAGAAGGTGCCTGCTTCCCCTTTGCCTTCTGTCTTGACTGTAAGTTTCCTGAGGCGTCTCCAGCCATGCAGAACTGTGAGCCAATTAAACTTCTTTCCTTTATAAATTACCCAGTCTCAGCTAATATCTTTATAGCAGCATGAAAACAGACTACTACACCACTATGGTTGCTGTTTATACACCCATTGTGCTAGCTTTGGGGTGACCTCAGATGGAGACTGGTTGATATCAACTGTGTGTACATGGTTGTTTAGTGCTTCTCCCATGGCATGTGCTCTCTGGTGGGTGTTTACATGGAATATAATCACACTCACCCTTGGTGCCCATTTCCATAGGTCCAATCACATGCCTCCACCACAGGTTTCCTTGTTTCCAATTTTCCAATCTTTTCCTTTCAGATCTCTTACCAACAAGCCAAGCCATTCACCACTGCCCATGAGATCCATGTATAGTCTAAGCTCAGGCTCCTTCTCTTTCCACATAAAGTGGATGGCTAGGTGCATGATCCACAGCTATGCCCATTAGTAGGATCCCCCCCTCTGCTGTCTTTCAAGGATGCGCCTGTGTGGGGTTGCAGTGCAGCCACAGTCTCTTTTCGCCTTGCTCATACATACTGAGCTGATCTATCTAAGGACAAAGCTTGGCTTTTTTTTTTTTCTCTTCTGTCAGCTAGATATAAAGAGCTGCCCAGGCAGACGAAGGTGTGAAATGAGGGACAGACAGGTACTGGTGCAAAGGTAGTGGATGACATAGATATCTGGGCCACCCGCTCATGTAACTATCTTCTGCCCTCCAGCCCGGCTATGTCCAACCCCAGTTGTACTATTTCTATCTTAGGAATTGCTGCTGGCCTTGCCTGACCTTTTGACTTGGTGGATCTGGCAGAATCCAGCTTTGGCCACATGGTCAACTTGATGATCCATGGTCTGATGATCTGTGTCTACCAGAACCCTGGAGCATCAAGAGTTGTTTCTCAAAAAGCATACAATTCCTGGCTACAGATGGCATGGCCCTGCTCCAGAACCCTGAGTGTCTACATTGTGATTCTCCTACAGGATCTTGTCACAGGCATTTGTTCCCACCACAGATACCTCAGGTACATTGTGCTCTGCCAGGTCTTCTGGCCCACACAGCATGGCCACTTGTGCTGTAGCCTGGAGCTTCTACTGAACCCTTTCTTGCTCTGAGCCCCAAATGAAACTGACAACTTTCTGTGTCATCCAGTACGTGGATAGAGCAGTAT